GGGCGATGAACTTTGGTGGCAGCGAGGGCTGCCGAAAAGGGGCCCGAAAAGGGCACCTTGCGCCCCTCCACTTAGTTATCGCCACCCATTCACTCGCGCCCTACTTGAGGTCGTGAAGGGCCTGACGTCTTCCGCCGCTCGACTCGCGCTGGAGCGGCCACGACTTGCTACAGACAGCCACGGAGGCCCCTGGAGTTGACCGGGTTTGCCTGGACCTGCCGGGATGTGCACCTGGACTTTCACGGATCTGTTTGTTTTTGCCTTGGCTCTAGGCCTGCCTGATGGGGTCGGAGCCGATGGGGTCGAAGGATCGCGCCGCATCGCCGATGCATAACCGATGCGGCCCGATGTGGAACCCGACCTTTACGTGGACGTTACCGATTCGGCGAGATCCTCCGACCCCATCTGCCTTGATCCCATTCGGCAGGCCTAGACCTCAGGACGTGTGTTGACGCCTGCTTGCGCCAATCCGCCTGAACCCTTCCGCGCGTCGCAGGAAGAGTAAACGCGCGTCGCCGAGGGAACCTTCTGGGAGGCCTCTGTCGATTTGTCTGGCTTGATTCCCGCACAGCCGACGTGCAAAATGTCGCCTGGCCCCTGAACAACAGGGGGCCTCTGGGCGGCACTTAACGGGGAAGGGCGAAAGGTGTATTTTTGTTCAGGCCCCAATAGGCCCCTTTCAGGGGCCCGAAAGGGCTCCTTTTCTACAGCCCTCGATGCCCCCCCATGTGTTTGGCATCATTCGGACGTGTGCTTGTTTCGTCGGCAAGGACCACCGAGGAGCACCTTGGATCATCGAGCAAAAGACGCATGAAACCAAAACATGCACGGGGCGTGGACGTCCGAGCGATGGCGAGTTTCGGGCCCTGGAGGCCCCTCTCTGGGCCCCCCAAAGGATGTTTTCTCATGCCCTGAAGGGTCCCTTCTTCTGCAGGTCCAGGCAAACCCGGGCAACCCCAGAGACCTCCGTGGCTGTCTGTAGCAAGTCGTGGCCGCTCCAGCGCGAGTCGAGGGACGGCGGAGGACGTTAGGCACTTAACGATCTCAAGTTGGACGTGAATGAATTGGGGGCGATGAGTCGGGGGGGGAGCAAGGTGCCCCTCTTGGACCCGAAAGTGCCCCTTTAGGGGCCCTAAGATCCCCTTTTCGGCAGCCCTCGCTGCCCCCGATGTATCGCCTCCATTAATTCGCGCCCAAGGTATGGATACAGTTTAGCCCCCAGTGGTCAACGTACATCCATATCCACCGCGCGCTGGGTCCCCAGGACGTCGGTCCCTAGGCGGTGGATGTGGAGACATCCCCGCCTCGCCAGATCCAGCAAGCATCTTCACTCAGCCTCGCCAGATCTGTGCAAGCCCTCGCTGTCCCCCCAGTTCGTCGCCCCCCAGTTTTTGGTCGGGCAGGTCCCTAGGCGGATTATTTGGACGACAAATTTTAAGCGGTTGAAGCAATACACGAGAAATCGTCCCCTGACTTTTTTGTGTGGCTATTTTTGGAATTCTCCTCCAGCAGAGGGACACGCCCGACTTACAGTCAACCATGATAGCAAGGATGGGCAACCTTCCCGAGGGCACCCTTGCATCCTCGCCTCCTCGGCCCATCCTTCGCCGCCTTCGGCTTGCCGCGCCCCGCTCGGAAAGCTTCGGAATGCGCGCCCAAGGACCCTGCATCCTCACCGCGCATCCTTGCTGTGCTGGCTGCCTGTGACCCCAGCTCCTCCTCCTCCTCCTCCTCCTCCTTCTCCTCCTCCTCCTCCTCCTCCTCCTCCTCCTCCTTCTCCTCCTCCTCCTCCTCCTCCTCCTCCCTCCTCCTCCTCCTCCTCCTCCTCCTCCTCCTCCTCCTCCTCCTCCTCCTCGGGGCCCCGTGGGCGGGCTCACGGGAGCGTGGCGAGGCTGGCCCTGGGCGGCCGCACCGGCGGGGGCGCGGGGGCCCGTCGGATTCCAGGGGCAGGGCCTCCTCCTGCCAGGGAAGGGTTCCCCCTCCTGCTCCTTCGCTTGCACTCTCTCCCCTCCTTGCCTTCCTCCTCCTCCTCCTCCTCCTCCTCCTCCTCCTCCTCCTCTCTCCTCCTCCTCCTCCTCTTCCTTCCCTTCGCCTCCCTCCTCCTCCTCCTCCTCCTCCTCCTCCTTCTCCTCCGCCTGCTCCTCCTCCTCCTCTTCCTCCTCCTCCTCCCTCCTCCTCCTTCTCCCCCTCCTCCTCTTCCTCCTCTTCCTCCCCCTCCCTCTGTTTTTTACCGTGGGCAAGCCCTAGGTGCGTGTCCTGTAGCGTTCGTGCGAGAAACACCGGCTTGGCAAAGTGCTCCACCATGTATGTTGAGGGCGCGTGCATGACAGGACGGCCTGAGAAAAGTAGTGCAGCCCTTGTGGACTCAGAGTAACGCAGCCGACAGCTGTGAGGGAGAATGATATTAAGCACCAAGTCAAACCAGTAACATAACATCGTGGGAGGACTCCGTAAGAGACAGGTCGACATACACGTGCAAGTAATACAAGTTGGCAGGCTTGCTGATTGCTCCTGTGAGTGTCCAGTGGGTTTCTAGCCACGCGTGGGGTCAGTTAGGCAGCCGGAACCTCCCCCCTTCCATCCCCTCGCTACCTTCCACCACCTCTACCAGTACGAAACAGAAGTGATGTGGCATTCAGCATTGAAGAGAACAGTGGTTAACACAAGATTCTGGCTGGTCGTTGGTCTGCTTCAGGCAGGCGCAGTACGCAGACTGAGCAGGAAAGGAAGATGCAAGAGATTGGGTAGCAGAGGCTATGCGAATGTGGAGTAACTCAACAGGCAGTGGAGCTGAGTACTGAAAGCGATCACGCCAGATCACAGTGCGGAGTAACTCACCCCTGCCGATGGTCAAACTGACACTTTCGTACATGTAGTGACTGCTCCCACCGCCTCATTCACCACAACCCACCCCTCCAAGTCTGTTCATGCTGTCTGCAGGCTGGCACAAGTGACTTGCTGGCCTAAGAGCGTTGCTGTCGCAGGTCTAAGTATGCAGGGCTGCAGGTCGAGGTGTGGAATGCGTGTGACTTGGCAAGGCGCATAAATGATAAGCCGCGTGATGTTGGTCGAATGGGTAGGGCCTTCGCTTTGCTTGGCTGGTCCTGTCGGTGCAGGTCTGCCTAAGGTTTAAGTAAGTGTAAGAGAGAAAGCTCGTGATGCTCTGCCCCACTTGCACCGCATAGATGGCACCGTACCCCACCCCAAATACACAGCTGCATGGATTTAGTCATTGGACCGGGCGTTGGTATTACTAGGCTAGCTCTGCAAGTGCAGGCTGGCCCAATGCTTTAGATGTAGATAATAGAACAGGGCGCACATCAAACAGACATCAAGTCAAATGAAATGTCTGGTGTAGGCGAGTGATGGATTCGATCCTTGGAAGAAAGAGGAGCACCCTGGGTAGCTTGGGGCATGTAAACTTCTGCATCGATAGGTGTCTGCGGGCATGCCACTTCGCATCGTACTGCCTCCTCCTCCTCCTCATCATCATCATGGCGATGAGTGCAGGAGCCTGCTCCGAGCAGGTGGGCCCCCAGAGGCCGCACTGCTGCAGACAGTCGCACCAGGCAGAGGTCTGGTCTGGAGCCAGATGTGCCCCCCCCCCTCCGCCCCCCCCCCCCCCCCTTCCACCCGATGTCGACCCGCCGAATGAAAACAAAACGTTCACCACCTGCTGCTTCACCTCGGGGAACGAGGCCGCCCCGTCGCTCGACGTCGCGCCACCGCGCGCCGCGCCGCCCTCTGACGGTCCCGCCCAGCTCGGCGGCGTCGTGCGCGGGCGCGCGTGCGAGCGCGCGCCAGCGCCTGCGCCGAGCCCCCGTGCCGCGGCTCGGGCGTTTGGCGCCAGCCCGAGGCAAAAATGGCTGCGGTCCTTTATCCCTCCTCCTCTTCTTCTTCCTCCTCCTCCTGCTCCTCCAAATCCTTCCCTTCTTCTCCTCCATCCTCTTCCTTATAAGTAACTCCTCCCTGCAGCATCCCGAGGCATGTTGTGAGGGCGGGCCCGGCGTTTCGCCCGAGACTTCCTCCTTTTCGTGTGATCTTTAAGCCGAGAAGTTGCTAGAGCTTCACGGATGGAGGGCGGGTCGTGTTCAACATGTGGTTCTCGCCCTAGTGCCGCGCATGTTCGTTCAGAAGTTGCCAGATGTTCAGGGATTGAGGGCATGTCCTTTTCAAACTTCGGTCCTCGCGTTAGCGCCGCGAGTACCCGTTTCAGACATCCAAGGGTTTCACGTATTGAGGGCGGCCCGTTTTCATCACGTGTTATCGTTTTAGCGTTGAGCACATTCGTCCGAGAACATTGCAAAGGTTTCACAGGTAGAGGGCGGGCCGTTTTCAAAATGCGGTTCTCGCTTTAGCGCCGCACACATACGTTCTCATACTTTGCAAGATTTTCATGGGTGGGGGGCGGGCAGTTTTCAACATGTGGATTTTGTTTTTTGCGCCGCGTTCTTACGTGTCAGATCTTGCAAGAGCTTCACATATGGAGGGCGGGCCGTTTTCAACATGTGATTCTCGCTTTACCGCCGCGCACATTCGTTTTAACTGTTTGTTGCAGTTTTGAGGATTCTCATGGCTAACGCCCCAGAGATGGTGTGTTGGCACGATGTCGGAGTCTCAGGGCGCAACAAATTTGTTGGTTCTCGATGTTGAAATCTCAGGAACAGTGTTCTGACACGGCTCATGACCGTCAAGACGCGATAGCAACGTCGATTTGCGGCGTTGAATTACCAGGGCTGGACTTTGGCACAGTTCCGGATGTTCAAACGGTTATCGTACAACGGGGCTTTTCCTTCAGTGAGGCGGAATTCTTGTGGGGACCTCAGAAAGGGGGAACCTATCCTGGTGGGGCCCTCTGAAGAGGGAACTTGGAGGGAGGGTGTATTGCAATATCGTTGATGGGGCTAGGGTTTCCATTGGTCCTTCTCTCCTCCTCCTTCTCCCCTCCTCCAGGCCACGGTCCATCCACCCCCTCCTCCTCTCGGACGCGTAAACCACAGGACCCGGACGGCTACTTGGTGGAGGTGTTGCCGAAGGGCCAGGGGTTTCCGTTCCCGACCCAGCAGGTGGACTGCTGTGGGGTCTCCCTGGACGGCGGCGGCGGGTATCAGGACTGCATGGGCAGGGGGGGACGCGACGCGGGCCCAAGAGAAGTGGAAGTGAGGAGGGGAGGAGGGAGAGACGGAGAGGAGGAGGAGGCGGAGGATCCGCGTTCCGTTGGATGTTACCTTCACCTCTTCAAGCATAGCCACCTAGCCAGCGATACCATTCGCCAAGCTATCAGTCGGATCACCCCCCCCAGGGCCGACGGGCCCGTGGAGGGGACGGCAGCTCCCGCAGGTGCTTCAAGGAGCCAGGAACCAGGAGGAGGGAGGGAATATGGGAGGAGAGAGAGAGAGAGGGAGAGAGGGAGGACGACGCAGGGAGGATAGGATTTGGGTCCAACCCAGTGGCTGAGACGGCTCATTTCTGGAGAAGCGCCCACAACGGTCGTCAAGTCGGCCCCAAGACTATGTTCTACGTTCGGTAAGGCGAAAGCAATCGCCCATTCAGCTCCACCACTTCGATCGTCAAGGCGAGAAGAGCCGTCAACTCGGCCCCGACGCTTTGTCGTCAAGACCGATGTCGTTTTTGACCATCAGTTCGGCCCGAAGCTTTGTTCATCAAGACGGAGGGGGCGGCGAGGGGGGCCGTCACGGGGTTTCATTAACTCGGAGGAAGGCCGTCGCGGGCGCTCGTCACCCCAGAGGGAGGCCGTCAAGGGGGTTTGTCAATTTGGAGGGAGGCCGTCCAGGGCGTTCGTCAATATGGAGAGAGGCCGCCAAGGGGGCTCGTCAACTCGGAAGGATGCCGAGGAAGGGGCTTGGGAGGGCGGAGAGAGCAGACGGGGGGCAAGACGACGAGAGCGGAGGGAGGTGCAGAGGGAAAGCGGGAGCAAGGATCCGGGATGATGGCGGCAGAGGGTGTGGGCAGCGGAGCGGCGCGCAGGTGTCACGGCCTCGCCCCTCTTCCTGCGGGGGGCCCCACATCGCACAGGGGAGGCTGGGCGCGTGCCGGTTCTGGCCGTGAGCTCGGGCTCCGCCGTGCAGTGCAGGAGCGAAAGAAGGACGTACACGTACATGAATCCACGCTGTTTCCGAGATTTCGCACTGCGCGAACAGTCGTATCACGCGGCCGGCCTCGCGGGTCGAGGGGCCGTGTTCATGTACAGAGCTGGGCGCGTACGTCCTCTGTGGGCTCCGCCGTGCAGTGTCGGCGCGCGGTCGAGCCGGCAGGCACCCGGAGCCCGGGGCGCAGGGCACAGCGGCGGCGCGCACGGCGTGCGCCGCCCGCGCCTCGGCCCCCCCTCCCCGCGCACGGCGGGCCGCCAGGACAACAGCGCGAAGGCGTCGTGAGGTCTCGCGAGCTCCTGCCGAGCTCTTGCTTCACCACCCACCAAACCACCCCAACCCAACCCGAAGGCTCAGATTTACCCTCGATTTCCAGTGGGGGGGGGGTCGGGAAACATCGAAAAACACATGTGGAACCCTTACCCCCCCAACCCGAAATTCCGGTCTTCGGGTTGGGTTGGGGTGGTCTGGTAGGTAGTCATTGCTGAGCTCCTGCGCACTCTGCAGCGCAGGGCTTCCAAAAGTTCCGCTGCGGGCGTCGGAGAAGAGGCGGCACAGCATCGTACAGCAAAACGTCGAAGCTCCGCGCCGCTATCTTGGATCGGCGCTGGACCCCCATGGCGGCCTCTTCGGCGCCGCCGCTGGCGCTCCCCGCGCGCCGGAGAGAGAGGTCCGGCGCCGATGCAAGAGATCCGCTGGGAGCTCCTGGGCACGGGGTCGGAGGGGACTGGTCACGTCACGATTCGCGCCAGCGCCGCCGCGAATCGTGACGTGACCAGGGTGGGGTACTCCAAATCCCTTATTAACCGATCCCCCCCCTAAAAAACCGGACCCCCCTCCAAATGCGACCTAATATTCCGGACCCCCTCCCTAAGTTCCAATCCAAAGAAAACGCCCTAATAAACCGGAACTCCCAGTTACAAAAAAGGCGCCTTAAGAAACCTGACCCGGGGGACGATTAATAAGGGATTTGGAGTAGGGAGTGTGCGGGGCCTGGACGGTACCGAAAATAAGGAAGGAAGGGGCAAGATTCGGTGTATGTTGTTTTTCTTCTTCCCTGTGTGCGGGCCTCCTCCTTCCGCCCAGGCATCCCTGGCTCAGCACATGATCTGCACTCGCTCTCTTGCTCACGGCGCGCTGCTATCAATGCTTCCTTCTCTTGCCGTCATCCATTTGCATTCTGTCGTGACATGACATGCGTCCACGGTGTTGTATCTCAGCGTTGCCCTGCCTTGTTCTGTTCTGTCCGTACATGGTCCTGCTCCCATCTAGTCCAGCGGTTGGTCTTTCCATGTGTATTTGCCTTGACCGCGCGCCGTTATGAAGCAAACTAGTCTTGAGCCACATCGGCCTGGATGAATCTCGGTTTCCTCCACGGGCCCCTTGGCTATCGAAAGCGACTCTGGACAAGGAGCTGGTTTTGGGTGAAGGCCTTGATGTCGAGGACCCCTTCCCCTCAGGACCCGTTTACTTCATGATACGCGGGCTTGCTTGTTCGGGCGTATGTCGTGCTTGTCCGTGTTTTGGTCCTGCTTCGTGTGCTCGTTGGCCGAATCTTCTTGCCTTGCTCTGCATAACCACCAGCCAGGCCTGACCTTGCTCGCTGGTCTGCACGGCTGCCAACATCTGTTCTCTTCTGCTTCTGCTATGTTTGTTTCTCTTTGTATATACATATATTTCTCTCCGGCCCCGCTTCTCTTACGATCACAGTCATGTATGTAGACATATCACAGTGAGGGGGCCGAGCCGTCGGTTTTTGGCCATGGGCGCATGGCTGAAGTGGGGGTCCGCGGAGCGGATTTTTGTTGTTGCGTTTTTTGTTGCTTGTTGTCGTTGTCCGTTCTGCGAACCGGCCCGCGACCCACCCGCGACCCACCCGCGGCCCTGCTGTCGTTCTCTTTCGCTCTCGCTTTCGCTCGTCGTCGCAGTCGTCGCCGTCGTCGTCGACGTCGTCGTCGTCGTCGTGGTCGGTCCCCTGTCCCTCTCTCTTGGGGTCGGGTCGACGGTCCGCGGCCGCCCCGCCGATCAGCGCTGCCGCTGGCCAGGCCGACGGTCCGCGGCCGCCCCGCCGCTTGCCAGGGCCCGGCCTGCAGTGAAGAAAGGTATACCCCCCAAAAGAGATTCGATCGAAGACGAAGAGTGCGGGTATCGAGGGTTTGGGAAATATGCGTGATTGGACACTCGAGCAGATACGGCCGAACAGTCTTAAAATGATTGTTGTTGTTGCTGTTGTTGTTGTTGTTGTTGATCATGTTGTTCTTGTTGTTGTTGTTGATGATGATGTTGTTGTTGGTGTTGGTGTAGATGTTGGTGTTGGTGTTGTTGTTGTTGTTGTTGCTGCTGCTGTTGCTGTTGTGGTTGACGTTGATGTTGTTGTTGTTGTTGTTGTTGTTGTTGTTGAACATTATTAATTCTAAAGAATAATTATTGTTGGGCCCCCTGGTGCGCGCCCCCCCCGCCGCGCCTAGGCCGCAGCCACGTTTTCATCATTTTCGTGAGGAAGCCTCAGGTAATTCGATGTCATCAAGATCCGGTTGTTTTGTTCCCCCCCGCTTTCCCTTGCAAAAAACACTATAAAATGACATTTCTTGTTCTAATATAATCAAATTTCAAGAATCCCTTGCAAAAAATAAGGTAAAGTGGACATTCGCGCGCGCAAGACGAAATCCTTCCAAAAGCTTAGTGTTCGGAGCGATTTTAACATAAAAACATCAAAAAACCAATGGTTTTTCAACAAAAAAATGTCAAAATCTCATCCCGCGCGCTCTTGCGGATTCGTAGGAAACCCAACACTTTTTAAACATTTCTGTCAAACGGGCTTTTGCGAGCAACTTTTTCGAACTTCTGCGACAACGGTTGCGCACCTGCCAGGGCCATCATCCCTGTCAAATAATACCATGCGGGACACATTCGTTTTTTCTTCGCGCGCGCACGCCGAAATCTCCAAAAACCATTGGGTTCTGTGGGTGTGTACCCCACGCCAGTGTAGTAGCCACGGTCGTCCGCACGCCACGAAGTGAAGTGTCCCAACGTCATAGGGCGGGAAGCTGGGTTTGGGTGGTCGCGAAGAGTCGTTTGGATATTTGGTAGAGCTTGTAATGCCCCCCCACGAAGTGGGGGTATTGCCTGGTGTCGTATGAAAACCCTGGCACTGGGGAGAACACCACGCGTTCGGGTAAAATGATTGTTGTTGTTGTTGTTGTTGTTGTTGTTGTTGTTGTTGTTGTTGTTGTTGTTGTTGTTGTTGTTGAACATTATTAATTCTAAAGAATAATTATTGTTGGGCCCCCTGGTGCGCGCCCCCCCCGCGCCGCCTAGGCCGCAGCTACATTTTCATCATTTTCGTGAGGAAGCCTCAGGTAAAACGATGTGATCAAGATCCGGTTGTTTTGTTGTAATCCGTTTTCCCTTGCAAAAAACACTATAAAATGACATTTCTTGTTCTAATATAATCAAATTTCAAGAATCCCTTGCAAAAAATAAGGTAAAGTGGACATTCGCGCGCGCAAGACGAAATCCTTCCAAAAGCTTAGTGTTCGGAGCGATTTTAACATAAAAACATCAAAAAACCAATGGTTTTTCAACAAAAAAATGTCAAAATCTCATCCCGCGCGCTCTTGCGGATTCGTAGGAAACCCAACACTTTTTAAACATTTCTGTCAAACGGGCTTTTGCGAGCAACTTTTTCGAACTTCTGCGACAACGGTTGCGCACCTGCCAGGGCCATCATCCCTGTCAAATAATACCATGCGGGACACATTCGTTTTTTCTTCGCGCGCGCACGCCGAAATCTCCAAAAACCATTGGGTTCGTGGGTGTGTACCCCACGCCAGTGTAGTAGCCACGGTCGTCCGCACGCCACGAAGTGAAGTGTCCCAACGTCATAGGGCGGGAAGCTGGGTTTGGGTGGTCGCGAAGAGTCGTTTGGATATTTGGTAGAGCTTGTAATGCCCCCCCACGAAGTGGGGGTATTGCCTGGTGTCGTATGAAAACCCTGGCACTGGGGAGAACACCACGCGTTCGGGTAAAATGATTGTTGTTGTTGTTGTTGTTGTTGTTGTTGTTGTTGTTGTTGTTGTTGTTGTTGTTGTTGTTGTTGTTGTTGTTGTTGTTGTTGTTGACGAAAACACTCACTGGCGCCCGGCCGACCCCCCCCCCCAGCAACAGCAACAGAGCAACACAGGAGAACCTCGAGAGCGTTTTGGGCTTCCTGGAGGGCCTCTACCGCCTCCTGGAGCGCCTCTAGGGCCTCCTGGGGAGCCTGTGGGACCTCCTGGCGAGTGTCTCGGGCTTCATGGAGAGCGTATTGGGCCTCCTTGAGCGCGTCTTGGGCCTCCTGGAGCGCCTCTGTGGCCTCCTGGAGCGCGTCTTGGGCCTCCTGGAGCGACTCTGGGGCCTCCTGGAGGGCGTTTTGGGCTTCCTGGAACGCCTCTGGCGCCTCCTGGGGGCCTCTTCGGGCGGAAGGCTCGGATTGTCGATTCGCGCCCCCCCTCTTCGCTGGTCGCCTGGGATGGGGGTGCTTATTAATAAGGAGTTTGTGGGAGGGGGCGCTTGTTCATACCAGCTGCCTGCGGCAAGTCCCGCCACCGTGCCAGGCCATGATGCTGGGCACCGCTCGTTCGAGGGGGCAAAGGAGGCCGTACTCGCGAGGGGTGCGCAACATGATAATGATGATGATGATGATGACGATGATGATGATGATGATGATGATCAGGATGATCAGGATGATGATGATGATGACGACGACGATGACGATGGCGATGCCGATGACGATGATGATGATGATGATGGTGGTGGTGATGCTGATGATGACGACGATGACGATGACGATGCCGATGGTGATGATGATGAGGGTGATGACGATGACGATGACGATGTCTATGATGATGATAGTGGTGATGATGATGACGATGACGATGACGACGACGATGACGCTGATGATGATGATGGTGGTGATGATGACGATGATGATGATGATGATGACGACGTGTATGTGGCTGGTGATGATGATGACGATGATGGTGAGGTGGACGAGGATGGTGATGATGATGCCGATGACGATGATGATGATGATGAAGATGAGGATGATGATCATGATAAGGATGATGATGAGGAGGATGACGTGGGTGTGGGTGATGATGACGATGCTGGTGACGATGCTGGTGACGATGATGATGATGTGGACAAAGATGCGGATGATGATGACGATGATGATGATAAGGAGGAGGGACGAGAGTAGGATGAGGAGGAGGAGGAGGAGGAGGGTGAGTAGAGGTTTACCCAGC